TAATAATAAAGTTGCCTATAATAAATATAACTTGAGTTAGTCACAACGATCCTGCAGTCTAATGTAGAAATTGTGCTGGAACTTATTGCAAGTTTTTGTTTTTATCAGTTCCCAGCCACAGCCAAGTGTTGTGAAACCCACACCGACCTCTGTAGGTGCTCCCGGGCTGGTAGCTCTCCGGGTCTCCCTCAACGCGGAGCCGAAACTCGTTGTTGGTCTCCTTCCGGTTGCTCTGAGCCCGGAGGATCCGGCTGCAGTAGCTGTCCGCCTTCACGGCTCTGTCGGACGGCTCCTCAGTGAACGCGAACGCATCGCTCGCCGCGGAGGAGAAAAAGCAGAACAGGAGCACAAAGCGCGGGTCTACTCCTGTTGCTGACATGTTTCTGGTTTCCCCGCTGCCTGTTTGATGAAAGGAGATGTTGTCAGATGTTTGGGGGGGAAAGAACGTTTGCCTCAGCTTCAACCAAAAAAATAAATCAAACTCCAACTTGTCAGCTGCTGGAGTAGACTTGTGCGGCTGTTAGCAGGGCTGATCCATCCTGGTGTGAAGGAGGAGGAGGAGGAGGAGGAGGAGGATGAGATGAGGAGGAGGAGGATGTGCTCTGCTCTGTTCTCCCTCTCTGAACGGAGCAGAGCTGAAGAAGAGGGATATCAGGGGTCCAGGGAAGTGGCCAAGCGAGTAATGAACGAGGCTGTCTCCAGGGCCACATGTATATATTAACAAACTGACGAGGTGATTAACACTAACCAAGTGGGAAACACAGACAGGCAGGCAGCACGTTTGAACTCCCACTGCAATTTTTGTGACTGAGTGTGTGTCATGACTTGAACCCCTGAAGGAAGACATAAACACACAGACACAAAAAGAAATCACTGAAGTATTTCTGTTGCAAAATTCTTCTGACTGGAGGCCACTTGGCTGCTGAACAACGGACAAGAATATATATTTCCCAGAAGAACGAACCAAACAGGTGAGATTATTTCTTTATGAAACGTTCACCAGCCAGAGCCCATGGTCCAAATGATATTGTCTTGGACCCATGATGATGTGGGGCGTAAAGTGATAGTTCAGACATTTTAAAGTGTGGTTCTGTGGAAAGTTGGATGAACTTTAAAAATTGTAACATATAGATCAGGGGTGTCAAACTCATTTTCTCCAAGGGCTATGAGCGTTATGATGGTCCTCAAAAGGCCACTTATTAGCCTTGTTGTTTCGTGTTTAACTTTGACGAAACCTACGGCTGAACACCTGAGCTCACAACTGATCTATGTGGTATTTTGTGCACATAAACAACTTTTAACACGTCCTTTTATAAACAAAGAAAATGTACGACTGACTAAATGTGAAATAAATAATACAAAAATACAATTAAAATAAAGGTAAGAGAGTTTTACTCATTGTTGAATAATRTTGAGTAGCTACCATCTTCAGTTCAGAACTTGGATTTTTTTTCACGCTTACAAAAGGTCATCCCTATTGAAGGGAAGTTCCTGTTTAATTTACAGGGTTCCCACGGGTCCTTAAAATCCTTGAAAGTTTGTGAATTTGAAAAAAGGGTTTCAAGGCCCTGGAAAGTTTGTGAAAACAGCCAAAAATTACATTTGTCCTTGAAAGTCCTTGAATGTTTTTTTGGGGATTGACGTTCTCTATTCACGACTGATTTTCATCATCTGTAAAAATAATAATAGTAAAATAAAATAAAAAAAACTTAAATTTGTTGCAGTGATTAACTCAGGATTACAGTAAACTGACGAGGCTTTCAACAAATAATGTGAGCCATAGTCATAGTTTTACCCAATCAGAGCAGAGTAGGGCGGGTCTTTCTTTCTGAGCCCAGGTGAGAGCACCACAGCTCCTCCTGTCCTCACTGTGCGTCTGGACATATCCTCCTCCCAAACTGAGCTGCTGAACCTCCCAGGACATAATTACATGTCCTTGTATTGTAGATATGAATGTAGGGTGTACATTTAATCCACTTTCTTTCATTGATTCTGACTCAACAATTTCTATGTTGTTCAGTTTTTCATTGAATTTACATGAGATTAAACCTGTTTATTGGTAACATTCTGCAGTAGCAGTAGGTAATTGCCATTGCACGTGGCTCTTGAATTTGAGGAAATTGGTTCTGGAAAATCCTTGAAAGGTCCTTGAACTTGACATTGACCAAGGTGTGGGAACCCTGAATTTAACAATTTGCAAGTGGGAAGATCCCATTTCCTGAGGGTCGCAGCAAAAATAGCAGCTAAATGGAGAGTTTGCCAGGCAAATTTTGCTGACTGGCTACTTTTGAACCCTGTGCACCTCCACCTTGTGATGTGATGCCATCATTTTGCGAGTAAAATAATTGACATGAATTAAGGAAGATGTAGTTTTATGATGAATGCAAACTTTAAATCAGCATACACCTATATATATTTTAAGACAGCACATCTTTAAAGCTCACACGGGCCACAAAAAATAATGTGGCGGGCCATATTTGGCCCGTGGGCCTTGATTTTGACACATGTGCTCTAGATGTTCTTTTGATATATATTTTTATTTTTATTTTTAGATGAATGAGATTTATTCTGGCCAGACTTCCAAGCTAGTGTAGCACTTCTGGTGCCTGGGACATTTCCTGTAATTGTAGCATTTCTGGAAGAATAACCATGCAATTAAAACTGATGTCCGTCCATCCATCCATCTATCTATCTATCTATCTATCCATCCATCCATCCATCCATTATCTTCTGTTTGTTCTGGAGTCAGGTCGTGGGTCAGCAGCTTGAATAAGGGGGGCCAGACATGCCTGGAAAACCTCCCWAGAGAGGGTGGGTGGTGCTCAGTGGGTAACCCTGCCGGATACCCAAACCATCTCCTCTGGCTCCTTTTGATTTGGAGGTGCAGTGGCTCCACTCTGCGTCTCTCCCAGATAACTGAACTTCTATCTCTAAGCCACCCTATGGAGAAAACTCATTTTGACCCCCCATATCTACTATTTTGTGTTTTTCTGTTCTTTGTAAAAACTTATACAGTAAAACAATTCATTAACTGCCACAACTTTTTTTTTTTTGGTTGAAGTAGTTTCAAGACAATAAAAATCCACTTTTGTTTTGCCTGCAAAGAACAAAATGTTAGCTCATAAATGTAGTCAGAAAAAAATGTTTCTCTAAACTAAGATAGTTTAATTGAAGAGATAATGGGTAAAATAATAAGTGCTCACGACTTTTCCTCAAAACCCTACTGCAAAATATCTAAACTAAACTGCAAACATACATTTTATGCACTCTTCTTTGCAAGAAATTGCTATAAATTTACATTGACTTTAAAACAGCATCTAACCGCTTTTTAAACTGATTAAATCCTACGAAAATGACACATTGAATCAGGGGTTAGTCCTGTAGACATCTCCCCTGCTGTCGCCTCAAGAGCTTCAAATCTCAGCATGACTTTTGTTCTGTCTGTTAAGGTTATTTAGTGATCAAGCTGACCTTAGCAGTGAGTGTGAGCACTTATGAGTGGCTGTTGTGTGTCTCTGTGTTTGCTCCCTTAAAAGTGTAGTCAGCACAAAATACACACAAAAAGAAACTGACTAAGAGAGTATAAAATAAAGTATAACATTGATATTTTTTGCATGYATATCAGTGTGATTAGTGAATAATTGTAAATCATTTGTGACAAAATCAGCAATTACATACTGTATAATGAAAATGGTGTTTCACTAATATTCAGTTAACAGTATTCATCAGGTGTCAGCTGGTTAATTTAGGATCTGTTTTAGTCTTTTTTTCTTCACATTGCAGTTTCTAATCACTTGAGATGTCAGCGACAACRGAGTCCATTTAGATAATTTGTGCAGACATCCACGCCTTCCAAAAAATGCAGCCTCCTGCTTTTTGATTTCCTGACCTTTACTCAGCAGCCATCAGCAATTTGACTTATTTGCATTTAAGTAACTGAATTTGATAATCGCTAAAAAGCATTGCCATTAATTTTGATATTGCCACCCATGTGCTCTGACAATGTGACCTTTGAGGCTGATTTTCTTCAGTAATACTAAAGTGCTTCATACTGTGAAGGCAAAAWATTTGAAAGAGTGAAATTTGTTAAAGCTGTAGAATGGGCTAGCAAATATTAATGTTTTTTTTTTCCTTGTGATTTGTAATAATCTTTTAAAACCCACAATTTTTCATCAGTAAGAAAAACAACTGCTGAAGCATGGCAGTTCTTCAGTATCATCTCAGGACACTGCCAAGGCAAAAACACTCACATGATGAAACTCTTAAGGCTTGTTTTTTCATTTGTTTCTCTTTTCTTAGAAGTAGCTCAAATGGTAATTGCATGACTTGTTTGCTCACGGTTCTGCCAACATGTTGAAGAGATCTTGAGTTGCTTTTAGTCTACACTGCAGCTAATTGCAAGTACCCAACAAGCACACTTTGCTGCTTTTTGAGTATTTATGAACGGGTGAATGAGAAACTCAGTGTTTAGGTTTTTTAAAGGACCAGTATTATGTGTTTCTCAGGCATATATTTAAATACCATACCATAAAAAAGT